GAACAAATGTAATGCAGGGTAATTGCTATAGTGTAATTTTCCAATTTTTGCCTTGGCAGGCTAATTTGGTTTGTAGACCGCCTGTGATCAACTTTGCATTTTGTTTTACAGAGGAACTGAAGGCCAGGAAGACTATGAGTTCAGGCCCAGCCTGGGCCACATAGTGAGATCTTCTCTCAAGCTCACCCCACTAAAAGTACAGTCCTGTAGACTTTTAAAAAAGGACAAGTAGCCATCTTCACAATCAAGAAATATCAGGAAAATTCCCTTTTTCCTATTCCCACCTCACACTCTTACACTTTGCAATGACACAGTAGTTCTCTATCATGATTTTGTCTCTGTGAGATTATCATATTGATAGAACAATACAGTGTACATACTTCTGAGACTGGCTTCTTTCACTCAGCATAGTGCCTTTGAGCTTCCTGTAAAAATATCTGGTTCCTTTTTACTGTTGAGTAGTATTCCATTTCGTAGAGCTACCCACCAGTTTACCCATTTGCTGATGAGGAGCACCTTGGTATTTGTGGTTTCTGACAATGAAACATAGAGCTGATATGAATAGTCAAATGTGTGTTTTGTGTAAATATACATGTGAATTTCTAGAGTAGATGTGATGGTCTCCTTTGCGGGGCACTCTTCCTCACCCTTATTCAGATGAAACATTAGACAGAAAGAAACCTAAACCTAGTCTTCATCCTGCCATCATTCACTGGTCCAGGATGCTGAAGACCCAGATAATACCCTCCCTAGAATTGTCAATGGAATCATTGGTGGTCCTATGAAAGGCAAGACTCTGTTATTTGTTTGGCAACAGTAGCAAATCAGAGAAAGCTCTTTTCAACAATCTTCAATTCCTAGGGGCATTCAGGAAAGATATTTTCAGGGTTTTTTTTTGTGTGTGTGCTGGAACTGGGGCTTGAACTCTGGTCCTCATGCTCTTGCTCATCCTTTTTCTGTTCAAGAGTGGTTCTTTACTACTTGAGCCACACCTTTACTTCTGGCATTTTTTTTTGTTGGTTAACTGGAGATAAGAGTCTCTCAGATTTATCTCCTCTGGCTGGCTTTGAACCAGCCTCCTCAGTAGCTAGGATTACAAGTGTGAGCCATGGGTGCCAGGAGGTTTTCTGATTTTGATCTTGGTGATTATCAAATGAAAGTGTTCTGATACAACAGTTTTTCTGTGACTGTGTCTTCCTGAAGCACCTGCCTAAATGTAAGGTTACCTGTAAGTATCGTTCAAAGAACAAACTTTCCACAAAGTATCCAAAAGTTCCAACCACACACTGGAACACAGCTAAGTGTTATGGTTTAGATATGAGGTCTTACCACAAAAAGCTCATGCATTGAAGGTTTGGTCCCAGCTGGCATAATTTTGGTCGATTTGGCAAGCCGTAGAAGGAGGAGAATAGCTGCAGGAATTGGGTGGCTGGGAAAGTATACGATTGAGGGTTGTCTCTTATCCTGGGCTCCTCTCTCTGTCTGTCTCTGTTTCCTGACATCATGAGGCAAGTAGCCTCTGTCCCCTTGGCATGGTTCTGTCCCACTCTAGGCCCAGACTCAATGGAGAGAAGGACTATGGGCTAAAACCTCAGCAACTGTGAGCCAAAAGAAAACCCTTTCTCCTTTTAGTTTGTTCAGTCAGGTATTTCATCATAGCCATGTCTAGTCTAGTCTAGCACAGTAAGTCTCTGTGCTGCCTTGCATGTAAACCCAGGATGCTGTGCTGTGGCAGATATTTCAGAGGGGTTGATCCAATACCAGCGGCTGCTCCCACAGCAACGGGTCATCACGTGGCACAGAGTTAGTCAATGGTTTTCACATAGATATCTACTGGGGCAAGGAGATTTTTCTTTCCAAATAAAGGACATCTGATATGGTTGGAGAAATCCTTTCTTCTACCCCTGGGTGTTCAGCTAGGGAATAACAGCTGTGACTGTCACATTGTGCTCTCAAGGTGACAGGCAGAGGGGCAAAAGCTACCAAACCCAGAGCAACAAACAGAATATAGCTTTGCATAACTGAGAGAGTACTACAGGTACTGCCTAGTGAGCTGGAAATCTGTGAGGAGAGCAAAATCAACACCCCTAACCGATCCACACGAAGACATAGCTATGAGTTCTCCATGACTTGGGACTAAACACATTCTAATTGAAATAAACGTCAAGGGTACAAAAATTGAAGAGCAGTGTGAAATTTTTGCTTATTTTTTCTCATAGATAGACTCTCACTATTTAGCCCAGGCTGGTCTGACACTTCTTTTTTCCTCTAGTAAATAATTTAGTGATAGAATCCTCAAATTTCTCTAAACAAAATCTTTCAAGTTATTATATTTTTGTCTGCAATATAGACCTGAAATGTTACAAATTGTAATCAAAGATCGAGCCATAGATTAAGTAGAATTAAAAACAATCTGACAGGTTTCCAATCCTCACTTGCATTGCTCCAGACTTTCTGCTGAAGATATTTAGTTAATTCTTTACTGATCGATGAGAAGATCTACCTCAGGCTCTTGGATGCTGAGAATATGGTATACACCACCCCTACCTGGCTAACAAATTCTTAATTATGTTGTATGTATAGATGCATTGGAAAACTGGAAGAGAAAGATTTCTAACTACATATTGATTCCTACATCACAGAGTTGGGTCTTTTGTTTTTGTTTTTTGGTTAGTCCTGGGGCTTGAACTCATGGCCTAGATGCTGTCCCTGACCTCTTTTGCTGAAGGGTGACACTTTACCGCTTTGAGTTACAGCTGCACTTTCCATTTTTGAGTGGTTGATTGGAGATAAGAATCTCACAGACAGCTCAGTGCCATTGGCTCAAGCTACTCAGGAGGCTGAGATCTGAGGATCATAGTTTGAATACAGCCAAGGCAGAACAGTCTATGAGATTCTTATCTCCAATAAGCTACTCAGAAAAAAGCCAGAAGTGATGCTGTGGCTCAAGTGGTACAACACAAGCCTTGAGCACCAAAAACTCAGGGACAGTGCCCAGGTCCTGAGTTCAAGCCCCAGGACTACAGGGGATACGAGAATCTTACAGACTTTCCTGCCAGGCTGGCTCTTAATTGTGATCCTCAGGTCTCGGCCTTCTGAGTGGCTGGGAGTGCAGTCATGAGCCACCAGTGGCTGGCTCATAGAATTCTCACAACTATTTATAAATTGTTAATAACAATTTATAAGTGAAGAATCAGGCTCTATGTCTGCTCCCCAAACTATCCAATTACCAAATAACTAGCTTGGAACTGAGATCCAGGACTGTGTGTGCCTAGAGAAAGCATTAACCACCATATAAAGTCCACCATAGTGCCTATCAGCAGCCATGAACTCTATCACTGGTTATTTCCAGGCAGTAGGCTGGCAGCAAGAACTTAAGTTTTTTTCTATATACTGTTTTAGTGTTTCTTTTTTAGTAAATAGGATAATTTTTGTTATAAAATGTAAATCCAGTCATGCACTAGTGGCTCATTCCAGCCTAGTTACTCAGGAGGCTGAGATCTGAGGATTGTGGTTTGAAGCCAGCCTGGGCAGGAAAGTCCATGAGACTCTTACCTCCAGTAAATTACTGAGAAAAAGCTGGAAGTGGTGCTGTGGCTCAAGTGGTAGAGCTCTAGCCTGGAGTACAAAGCGGCTCAGAGACAGCACCCAAGCCCCAAGTCTAAGCCCCATGAATGGCAAAAAAAAAAAAAGTAAATCTAGGGGAATTGATAAAATAATACTGATGCTAGACACTATGTTAGGAATACACACACACACACACACACACACACACACACCACACACACACACACACACACACAGTGATCTTCAAGATTTGGTTATCTTCTGTAGATATCCATCCATCATCATTATTGTTGTTTGTTGTTGTTGGAAGTATTAGGGTTTGAACTCAGGGCTTTGAGCTTGAAGTGTACATATACCATTAGAGCCATATTCCCAATCATTTTTGTTTCGGTTTATTTTATTTTATTTTTTGTGCTAATATGGGGGCTTGAGCCCAGGGACTTTGCTCTTGCTTGATATTTTTTTCCCCTCAAGGATGACACTCTACCACTTACCACAGCTCTACTTCTGGCTTTTGGGTGGTTAATTGGAGATAAGAATCTCTGCCTAGGCTTCAAACTGAAATTCTGAGATCTCAGCCTCCCAAGTAGGTAGGATAATAGACAAGAGCTACTGGTGCCTAGCATTTGTTTTTTTCTTTCTTTCTGGAGGCAGGGGGAGAGGGAAGGTGCTGGTCTTGGGACTTGAACTCAGAGCTTGGGTGCTATACCTGAGCTGTGTGTGTGTGTGTGTGTGTGTGTGCACATGAATGCGTGCATGCACACCCTCGCACATACCCGTGCAAGGTTAATGCTCTACCACTTGAGCCATAGCTTCATTTCCAGCTTTTTTGTGGTTAATTGGAGATAAGAATGCCACAGACTTTACTGCCTGGACTGGGTTTGAACCACAATCCTAGATTTCAGTCTTCTGAGTAGCTAGGATGACAGGTGTGAGCCAACGGTTCCCAGCCTTTGGTTTATTTTTGAAGCAGGATTTTCCACTTTTGCCCAGGCTGGCCTCTGCCCTTCCTCCTGCATAGCTGGAATTACAGGCATGCACCACCCAAAATAAACTTACTTGAAAGATCTTGAGCTAATATGACCTCAAGATGACCACTGATTTATTATATGACCTATGCTCCAGATAAGGTATCTTCCAATCTGCACCTAACCGTGGGAAAGCCAGGTTCGGCATTAGATAGGTGTGAAGAGTCTTTCTGTGTTCTTAAATAAGAGGGGCTGACTGGTCTAAAACAACAATAACAACAAACTACTATTATTAGCTGAATTTCTCATCTTGCACCTGTTACTAAACAGGATCTTAGAAAACGGGAGCTCATGGAGGAACAAAGCAAAGCAAAACAAAACAAAAAACCCCCACAAACCCCCAAACCCAAACCAGATCTGTGCTTCTGGGCAGCTCTGTTCTATTTACAGCTTGCTTATGTCGCTTTGGCAGCCTGGGCCATCCGGGAGGGAGGCCAGGGGTTCCTTGAGGGTTGGGTCAGTAATGGCAGTCACGTGGGCCGGGACCTTTTTCCTTAAAGGCCCTGGCACGGCCAGCACAGGTTTGCACACTGCACAACCATCTGAGATACGCAACCATTCCTGCAGGAAGAAAGGAAGCATTCAGCATTCCCAGCCAGCCATCATGACGGACAGAAGCCCTTTCGAAACGGATATGCTCACCCTGACCCGCTATGTTATGGAGAAGGGGCGTCAGGCCAAAGGGACAGGGGAGCTCACCCAGTTGCTGAATTCCATGCTGACTGCCATCAAAGCCATCTCGTCTGCTGTGCGCAAGGCCGGCCTGGCCAACCTGTGAGTTCTGGGGAGCATGCGTAATCGCACGCGTGCGCTCACGCGCAGGCGCGGACTCACGGAGCCTGGGTACAGAAACTGCAGGTTGTTTGGGCTAGAAACTGGGTCTAAAGTTACCTAGCCTTATGTGCCCAGAAGGAAGTTGCATTTCAGGTTTCTATCATGCCGTGCTTTCGATAAGAGAGCCTCGGGCACGTTTCAAGCATGAAACAAAATACCCTGAGACATTCTACTAAGTTAAAACAAGTGCAGTGGCTTGTTTTAAAACATACATTGAATTCTCTTGAGTTAGAGTTGCATAGATTCGCAATAGAATCTCGGAGCCTCTCTTGATGTCCTTGGCAGATGTGAGCAGGGCCCTGACCCAGTTTTCTTTCTCACCATGGAAAGCAGACTTTGCAGGCTGTGTTTTATAAACGTTTTCTCTGTAGCTCTGTCTTTATCTTGGTGTTTATTTGGTATTCAGGAAGGAAGCTGAAAGGTGCCAGGCCTGGGATGGAGAGCAAAGAATACTCTTCTACTTGCTTCTCTTTGTTGCTTTTTCTAAGTGCAGAATGAGGCCAAGTTTATGCTACAGCAGCTGATGACTATAGCCATGTGTCCAGTTTAAATCAGTAATAATCAAGCCACTTTTCTTTGGGTTGCATTTTTTATAGTAATTCCTGTGGGGTAAAGAGACCTCATTTTCTTTGTTTTTTTTTTTAAATTTTATTTTATGGAAGTATTAACCTAAAAGGAAGAGCTGACCAAATCCAACTATTTAAAAGTTATTCTTTGCTGCTGGCTCATGCCTGTAATCCTAACTATTCAGGAGGCTGAGACCTGTGAGGATCATGATTCAAAGCCAGCTAGGGCAAGAAAGTACTTGAGACTCTTATCTCCAATTAATCACAAGAAAGCACAAAGTGGTGTTGTGGCTCAAAGAGGTAGAGCACTAGAGCAGAAAAGAAAGAAAGAAAGAAAGGAAGGAAGGAAGGAAGGAAGGAAGGAAGGAAGGAAGGAAGGAAGGAAGGAAGGAAGAAGAAAGAGAGAGAGAGGTGGGGGAGGAGGGAGGGACAGTGCCCAGACCCTGAGTTCAAGCCCTATGACCAACAACAAAAAAGTTATTCTTAAAGGCTTTTTTTGAGTGGTTTGCTCTAGTGGTGCTGGGAATGAAACATAGAACTTCATCCATGCTAGGCAAACTCTCTACCACTGTGCTACCTGACCAGCCCAATGCAGTGCTTTTAATATACACAAAAGTGATGGTGTTATCTCATAAGATGGACCATGACATTATTACAACTTTATTTATATAAGAGTTTAGGGGGCTGGGAAGGTGGCTCAGTGGTAGAGCACTTGCCTTGCATGCATGAGGCCCTGGGTTCGATTCCTCAGCACCACATAAGCAAAAAGAAAAAAAAAACCAGAAGTGGCGCTGGGGCTCAAGTGGTAGCTCACCTAGCCTTGAGGTGAAGAGCTGAGGGACAGCGCCCAGACCCAGAGTTCAGGCCTCAGGACCGGAACCCCCCCCCAAAAAAAAGAGTTTAGTAGTCAGCTGTAGAGCTGAAATTTGAAATTAAAGATGCATGCTTTGCAGCTTCTGTTTTCTTGTCTGTGGTTTGCTATAAAAAAGTATTATTTCTTTTTTTCCTCTCTCTTGACAACCAGAAGAGGCGTGCTCTGTCCTGCTCCTATTGGGTGATGGCCCTCCTGAGTGACATTAGCTAGCACCTTTGTCTCTGCTTAGTGTGTTTTTTTAAGTGACATTTCAGGAACATCCAGCTGCACTAACAGGACTCTTCCTCTCACCTAGTCAGAACTGCCTTGGCTGGATTCTTGTTCTGCTGCACAACCCTGACTTTGTGGCAGTGGACTATCAAGACGAGGTGGTTTTAGGAACAGGATGATTAAGGTGCTTAATCTATCTTGACTTCTACCATGTGACTCTTGGTAGGATCTTTTTGTCTCCATCTTTTAAATGGAGAGAAACTCCTACCTACTAACTTACAGGTTATGTTAAGTCCATGTGATGCTAATTTTAAAGTTGCCAGCCCTATGATAAAGGCTCCATTGTTGTTACTAAATTAGCCTGCAGGTTGATTCTTCTGCTTGACCACTAGGTGGCAGGGCAGCCCCAGAAAGTGTTGAAATCTTTTTCTTGCCTTCAGCCATGTTTCTGCCTGTGAAGATGGCAAATATTAAATATTCCTGCCACAGTGGCACTCAGGGGACTTCTAGCCTCCCGTTCTTCTGCTTCCTTTTAAGGATATTTCTAGGCAGAGTCTAGATAAATGCGGTTTAAAAGTAATGAGAAGTTCATTTCCCCCCTTCTTTGTCCTCCCTCTCTTTAGAGTGGGTAGCAGGGAATGCCAGAGCTCCTAGGCCTGGGAGGTCTGCAGTGGCTTTCTCATGACTCTTGCATGCCATCTAGAACATTCTTTTTAGAAGGTATTGTCTAGAAAGTACTTTTTTGTGTGCCAACCCTGGGGCTTGAACTCAGGGCCTGTGCACTATTCCTTATCAGTTTTGCTCAAGCTTAGCACTCTCTTCCTCTTGAGCCACCGTCCTTCATCTGGCTTTTTGGTGATTAACTGGAAATAATATGGCCATGGACTTAACTGGCCCTGAGTGGTTTCAGATGGTCATCATTAGATCTCAGTCTCCTGATTAGCTAGGTCTCCTGGTGCCCCACTAGAAAGTACTTTTTCTTTTTTCTTTTCTTCTCCTTCCTTCCTTCCTTCCTTCCTTCCTTCCTTCCTTCCTTCCTTCCTTCCTTTCTTTCTTTCTTTCTTTCCTTCTTTCTTTCTTTCTTTTTGCTTTTTTCTGATTGTGGGGCTTGAACTCTGGGTCAGGACGCTGTTTCTGAGCTCTTCAGCTCAAGGTGAGCACTCTACCACTTGAGCCACAGTACCACTTCCAGTTTTCTGGTGGTTAATTGGAGCTAAGAATTTTACAAATCCTTACCACCTAATGCTGCCAGGGAAAATGGAAGAACAGCTGCTGGAAACACTTACAAATTCCTTTGGATAGTTAGTAATATTATCTAAACTTTAAATTTTAAAGGGCTCTGTTGATATTGTAATTTAAAAAAAATATATATCAAGATGTACCTGGAAATAAGACTAAGTATTTTAGAAAATTATTTAATAGATTTTGTGTAGATTTTTCAAGGAATGAGTGAAATTTAATCCCAAGTAATAAATACTTGCCTGAAAGTTCATAGCATTAAGTGATGGAGTTCTTTTTGAAAGGTCACCTGCACAGTTGAGCAACTTCACAGCAACTCTTCTTACTAGGGAAATGCATCGTAGACCTCGTGATACAAGAAAAATTTTTTGTTTATTTTTGTTTTTACTATCACCAGCCATTTAAAAGTAATGACTGATTGTCGTATAAATTGTATGAAATTTATTATCACTGTCTTTATTATACTATAATATTAATATATCATTGTGTATATTATATTTCATTCAATTTACTAACATGGAAAATAAAATTTTAAAGTAAAAAAAAAAAGAGTTTCACAGACTACTTTCCTGCCTGGACTGGCTTTGAACTGTGATTCTCAGATCTCAGCCTCCTGAGTAGCTAGGATTACAGGCATGAGCCACTGGCACATGCTAGACAAGTCTTTGTAATGGACCGTCTAACTTGAAGGAGTTAGAAAATTCACTTCATTGTAAGTTCCCTTTTTTTTCTGGAAGGAAGGACATTGCCTAGGATGCATAGGAAGGTGTAGAGGATAGGTTGAGGGGTGAGGTTGGCAGGATGAATTTTCCAGGCCAGGTGTTGATCTCTCTGGGCCCAGTCGTGGGGCCTGAGGCCTGGGTGCTGTCCCTCAGCTCTTCAGCTCCAGGCTAGCGCTCTACCACTTGAGCCACAGCGCCACTTCCGGCTTTTTTCTTTTTGCTTATGTGTTGCTGAGGACTCGAACCCAGGGCCTCAGGCATGCAAGGCAAGCGTTCTACCACTGAGCCACCTTCCCAGCCCCAGGTGTTGATCTCTCTAAAGCCCTTTATTCCCCAGCAGCAGCTTCCTCGATTGGATTTGTGACCCTTTAAGTGCCAATGCAAAATTATCCACTTTTGTGATTTGCTTGCTTTTGTCTTGACCTAGAAGGCACAGTTTTTGGAGCCAGGCTGCCAGGCTTATTATTTCAGACATCAAATGATAAAAGGGGTGGGGTGGGGCTAAGTACTGGGAGGTGAGGGGGAGGCCCCTCCTCAATGAATGGGAAGTACATTCATTCACAGGCCAACCCTTCTCCACGTTGGCTACCTGTTAGTACCCCCTAAGGGGTCCCTCAACGAATACCATGAAAGGAAATTACTCCCTTGCCTTTCTTCTTAATGCATTGGATATATGTTGGGCATCTACTGCATGCCTGGGCGCTGTGGAAATCTCGAAGGTAAGACTCAGTTCTTGCTCTCAGCAAGCAGATAATGCAGCAGGAACCACGTTCCATGGACAGATTATGAGACACCAGGGGAGGGATGATGGATGTGCTTGGATGTGGTAGGGGTCTAAGAGGCTTCCTGGAGGTAGTAGGAGGGTGAGAGGGATGAGAGAGGGGAGGTTTAGCAAGCACTGAAGGGACGAGTACTGGGATTGAAGGTGAAAGGACCTCCATAGGCCACAGGACATTTGGGACTGGCCTACCAGTCCAGTGGTCCAGGAGATGTGACTGAGCCTTGATGCAGGCATGGGAAGCTGGAGATACTAAAGGCAAGCCATCATAAAACAGATGAAAACATCTCTTGTAGCCAGGTGCTGGTGGCTCATGCCTGTAATCCTAGCTACTAATGAGGCTGAGATCTGAGTATCATGGTTTGAAGCCAGTCAGGTAGGTAAGTCCATGAAATTCTTATCTCCAATTCACCATTCAAAAAAAGCCAGAAGTAGAGCTGTGGCTCAAGTGGTAGAGTGTGAGTCTTGAGCAAAAGAAGCTCAGAGACAGCACCTAGGCCTCGAGTTCAAGCTATAGGACCAGCACACGCGCACACACACACACACACACACACACACACACACACACACACACACCTTCCAAAGGAATGGTAGGCAAAGGAAAAGAATAAATGAAAGAAGATATTGAGAATTGGGGGCTCTTAGATAAGTATTCAGGGAAAATCTCACTAAGAAATAGGCTTTGTGTCAAAACTGGAATGATATGTCAGACACATGTCACATGTCTTTCTGAGAGACATGTCTGAGGCAGGGTGCAGCAAAGGTAAGGTGTCTGCTGGGTTGTAGAGGCTGAGACTGGCTGAAGGGAGGTAAGAAAACAGGAAGCCATGCCAGGGTGAGAACAAGGTTTCCATGGTGCCTGACCCCATGAGGGAACATGGCTTTGCCTCCAAGTGAGATGAGAAAGATGCTATATTGAGAACCTATCAGGAGGGTGTGTGTGTCTAAGAGCAGGAAGATCTTTGCATGTTAGTAGTCTGAGACATGAAGCCTCTAGGTAGATTTTATCTTGAGTGCAGGGGATTAAACCTAGGGCCTCATGGATTACAGGCAGAACTCTACAACTGAGTTTTACCACCAGCCTGTAGTAGAAATTTTATGGCAATGCTCTTATGTTGCTTGGGATCATAGTGAAGAGGCATATCAAATTAATTAAGTCTGCTGCCTCAAATTCCTTCTTAATTTATGTAGTGCCAAGCTACTTATAGGACACTTTTAAATTCAGCCCATCAAGCTACCACTTGAAGGCAATCCACAAAGTCTTCCATAGTCCTTTAGTCTTTGATGTTCCTATTTATGGTGATGTGTCTAATTTGTGTGTGTGTGTGTGTGTGCAAGGCCTGGGGCTTGAATTCAGGGCTTGGGCACTGTCCCTGAGACCTTTTGCTCAAGGCTAGTACTCCCCCAGTTGAACTATAGCTCCACTTTTGGCCTTTTGGTGGTTAGAGATAAGAGTCTCATGAACTTTCCTGCCTCAGCTGGCTTTGAACTGTGAGTCTCAGCCTTCTGAGAAGCTAAAACTATAGGCTGAGCCACGGGTGCCCAGCTGATGTGTCTGATTTTAGGAGCTTTCCCAGTCTGTCTACCTCCCTGTACTGAGGGTGGGCTTATATTTTAGTAAGATTGAATTTTATTAATCTCATAGGGAGACAGAGGAAATACAAGGTCCCCAAGGGGTAAGGAAACAAAGTTGAAAGCTGCTGCTGGGTGACACAATATACATCCTGTGTATTTATAACCTTGGAACTGCAGAGATGTGGAAGGAAAGGTGGGGTGCACTTTGGGTGCTTTAGCGCTGGGTCTTCTTGGCTGGATCAAGGACTTCCCTAGTGGCTTAATTTACGCTTTTGTTTTCTTAGATATGGAATTGCAGGAAGTGTGAATGTAACAGGGGATGAAGTGAAGAAACTGGATGTGTTATCCAATTCCCTGGTGATCAACATGCTTCAGTCTTCCTACAGCACCTGTGTCCTGGTCTCTGAAGAGAATAAAGAGGCCATAATCACCTCTAAGGAAAGAAGAGTGAGTCCTGGGAAACCTGCAGTACTGCTTAGTACCAGTAGATGGAGCTACTTAGCTACCTGGCTAGAAGACTGGTTGCAGCCTTGCTTTCCTTTAGTTTTCCCTCCTCCTCCCCCCACTGGCCTTTTCTATTTCTTGACATTTGTTTTTTTTTTTTTTTTTTGGAAACAAAAGATTGCCTACTCTTTTAAGTGGAGACACAAATCTAGTGTAGTCTAGTGAATTAAGCCTTAAGAAGTAAATCAGTGAAACAAATCCAAGTAATTTCCTGATGCCTTCGTGGACAAAGTGTCATTTTTATATGGCAACAAACAGATGCTGGCATCTTTTTTTTTTAACTCTTAGGGGAGGTTTTACTTCTTGGAAAAGCTGTACAACTAATCTCCTTACTCTTCCAGACTCTACCCATCCCTGCCATTCACATGTCCTCAAGGGAGCATGGTTTCAGGTCTCCTTCCCTCTTCCCTGGGCCTGATAAAGTATTAGACCAACCTGGAAAATAAATCATGGAGATCTCATGCTCTTGACCCAAAATAATGGGGCAATTGGCCTCCCTCCCTCCCTCCCTCCCTCCCTCCCTCCCTTCCTCTTTTCCTACCCTCTTTCATTCCTCCTTCCCTCCCTGCCTCCCTGCCTCCCTTGCTCCCTTCTTCCCTTCCTTCCTTCCTTCCTTCCTTCCTTCCTTCCTTCCTTCCTTCCTTCCTTCCTGTCTTTTCTTTCCTCTTTCCCTCCTTCCCTCCTTTATTCTTTATCTTACCTGTCTAGGAAGACACCAGAAAGAATGACCTTGAGCATATCAACATATTCTAAGTGTTCTACAAATAACAGTTGAGTTGCTCTCCACAATTAATGGTGTTTTTTTTTAAAAAAAATATGGATACGCTGTGGCCCTAAATTGCTTGTTGGTGTAGTTTCATCTGTCTCATGCAGCCATGACTTTGTACAATGCTGCCGGTGGGAAGGTGTGCTGACCAGGTACTTCTTCCTTTGTGATTTAGGGGAAGTACGTGGTCTGCTTTGACCCACTGGATGGCTCTTCCAACATTGACTGTCTAGCTTCCATTGGAACCATATTTGCCATCTACAGAAAGGTGAGTATATGACCTGACTTTTCATATCTCCTTCCTGTGGAAGTTTCTGGGCACACAGTTTCCATTGCTGTGGGCACACGGGGAACTTTCTCTGTTTTGAGCTTCTCAATGGATGGTAATTCTCCCTCAACCTTCAATTGGCATTCCTGGGGAGAGGGTGAAGTAACAAGTCACATGGGGCCTTTTCAATTCAGTGTGTGTGTGCTTGTTCTGTAGCTTGAACTCTGGGCCTGGAGCTCTTGCTCAACTTTCTTGTTCACACCTGGTTCTCTATCATTTGAGCCACATCCCCAGTAAGGCTTTATGCCAATTAATGAGAGATGGAGTCTCACAGATGTTTCTACTTAGACTGGCATCAAACTATTATCCTACAAGTCTCAGCCTACTGAAGTAGCTAGGAATGCAGGTATGATCACTGGCACCCAGCTTGTGACTTAGTGACTAGAACATGATGTCAGACATGGCACAGGTTGAATATCCTATATGCAGAGGACTTGGACCACAGATATTTCAGATTTCAGATTTTACGGATACTACACTATTTGCATATACATAAGGAGATATCTTGTGGATGATATCCAACACTAAACGCAAAATTCATTTGTGATTTTCCTATATACTTGCACACATATCTTGAATGCAATTGTATGCAGTGTTTTTTTTTTATTGCACCTGCTTTTGCTGTTGTTAGTTTTGTTGCTAGGATGGGAGTTTGAAGTCAGGGCCTTATGCTTCCTTGGCTTGCTTGCTAGATTTATGTGGTCAGCTGGCATTCTATCACTTGAGCTATGTCTCCAGCCTGCATTTTTGCTGGTTTTAATTGGAGATGAATCTTGTGGCCATCTGTGCCTATGTTAGCTTTGAACCTTGATCCTTTGGCTCTCAGCCATTTGAGTAGATAGGATTATAGGTAGAAGCCACTGATGCACAGCTGCACCTATGTTTTGACGGTCATCCTTCACATGAAGTCATGTGTGATAACATGTTAAAATTCCAAAAGCTCAGATTCTGGGGGACTTAGATCTCAGGACTAAGGATGCTCAACTTTATTATCTTCTAGGAATATTCTGTATTTTTAAAGCACCCTACCTTTTATGTTTTCTGATGCTGCAATGACAATTGAGCACACACAGGTTTTAAACATCATTTGTCATCTTCTGTTTTTGTAAGTCAGAAACCAAGCAGCCTTGGCTAGGTCATTGGCTTGGGGTACCATAAATCAAAAATCAAGGTGACAGGTAGTTGGAACTCTTTTCTAGTGGCTGGGGTGGTATGTGGGGAAAATTTACTTTCAGGCCTGAAGGTGGATAGTGGAATTTGGTTCCATTCTGTGGTAGGTCTGAATTCCAGGGGCCTTTGCTGGCTAGTGTCTGGGTGGGGAGCTTTTCCAGCTGCTACAGGATGCGTATCTTCTTGTGACCTCTTTATTTTCAAAGTCAGCAAAGTTCCTGAGGCTTTCTCATTCTTCGATTCTCTCCAACACACCCTCCCCACTGATACCTTATCATAGGAGTCATCTGATTACAATCACTCATTTGACTAGACTGAACTAATCTAATTAGGACAACCCAGGGAAAAAAATCTTCCCGATTTTAAAAACCACAAACGTGATTATATCTGCAAAATCTTTTTGCTGGGCAATGCAATGTATATGCACAGGTTGTAGGGATTAAGAGAGTGTTGGAGCTCTTCTGCCTCTCTGCCAACCTCAGAATGGCAAGAATCTTATGGGTTGGTTTATGTGCATCCAACATGACCAGAAACTTCACAGTCTACCATGTACACACTCCAGACTACACCATTTGGCCATGACTTTGTTTGGAAAGCACTCCTTGCTGTGGTCAGGATGTTGCTGGGGTTTTCAGGCAGAGGGAGGTGAAGATGTTTGAGAGACTTGTGGACTGTGCAGTTGGGAACCTTGGCTGTGGGTTTTTAAGCACAGGGAGATAAATGTGTTTGAGAGACTCGTGGACTGCAAAGTTGGGAACCTTGGCTGTATTAGAGTACTAGATTTGTGCTAAAAACTCATCTCTTCAACTCCATAGAACATCCTTTGCATAGAGAGTGAGGAGAGGGGTGACATTGTCCAAAAAAAAGTATAGTCATCACCTTTATAATAACACCACATTTATAATAACAACAAAATAGAAATAAAAAACAACATGCTTTATATTAACTCATGATCACACATATAGCACATCAGTTCTTTTCTTTTTGTGTTGTCACCTTTTCTTTTCTTTTCTTTTGCTAGCCCTAGGGCTTGCACTCAGGGCCTAGGCACTGTCCCTGAGCTTCTTTTTGCTCAAGGCTAGCACTCTATCACGTGAGCCACATTTATGTGGTACTGAGGAGTTGAATCCAGGAGCTTCATGCGTGCTAGGCAAGCACTCTTCCACTAAGCCACATTCTGAGCCCATATCACATTTTCTATGCTACCATTGTGCATCTTGACACTGAGTACATAATGTCTGGAAAGAGCCATCCCCTTGTATTTGGAAGGGATGTGTTGCAAGCTTCCCAGTGAATACTTGAAATCATAGCACCAAATCATACACACACACACACACACACACACACACACACACACACACATGCACGCACGCGCACACACACGCACCTGTGATAAAGTCGTAACAAAATTAGGCACAGTAAGAGATAACTAATATCTAATGAAGTAAACAATTATAGCAACATACTGAAATAAAAGTTACAAGAGTGAATTCTCCCTGTCAGAGTGTCTTGTAGTACTGTACCTGCCTTTTTCTTGAGGTAATGTGATGCTGACAGGATAGAGGAAGTGACAGAAATGACACGGGCACTGTGATGTGGAGGCAGGCTGCTATTGGCTTTCTGATGATGTATGAGGAGGAGGATTATCTACTGTAGAGGATCCTGGATTGTTGCCCCCGATGATGTTTTCCAATCACAGTAACTAAAACCATGGAAAGTTAAAAAGAAAAAAGAAAAAAAATCTTGGGCTAAGCTTTCTTTCTGGAAAGCAAAGCAATGAAGCAGGGTAATGATTGTACTCTAGTCTTAGAGAACAGACTGGAAGTCAAACTAAACTCAACAGGAGGAAAATGCAGGGAATTTTGCTTTCCGTAGGGCTATTTCTCTTTTCTTGTGAAGAGAGGAAAAAATGATTTTTGAGTGAGTCCAAGAGAATGACACAAGGTGCTTTGTCTGGTGTCTGACAGTTTAAAGGCAAGATAAAATGTGAAGGTTAAGCAAGCACAAGGACCTTCATTTCTAAAAAGAAAGAAAGAAAGCCAGACACCAGTGGCTGAAGCCTGTAACCTTAGCTTTGCAGGAGAATGAGATCTCAGGATCACACTTGGAAGCCAACCAGGGCAGGAAAGTCAGTGACACTTCTTTTTAATTAGCCATTAAAAAACTGGAATTGGAGCTGTGGCTCAAATGGTAGAGCACTAGCCTTGAGCAAAGAGCTCCAGAACATTTCCCAGTTCAAGCCCCAGGACTTGCTCAAAAAAAAAAAAAGAAAAAGAAAGAGAGAAATAAGTAAAGACGAAGGAAGGAGGGAAGGAAGGAAAAAGGAAGGGAAGGAAGGAAGGGCGAGCATAATATTTATGATAGAATTAAGAAAAACACACCCAGTTGTTTCTTTAGGTAGCTTTAAATATTGGTTCTCTCCCTTGGCTAATACTCTTGAGTGCCAATTACCAGTCAGGTAAGTCAGATGCTGGTCTCATCTCCCTGAACCTACTCTCAGAAGGCACTTAGGCCTTCTCCCAGCCAGGAAGGCAGGCACAGATAATACTGTCACTTTTTGACTGCTGAGCAACGGAACCACAGAGCCGGTAAGTAATGCGGCTACATTTACCCAATCAATCATAGTGGGACAGGGGACCCAAATGAACCTCTTCCATTTGCAGCTTATAGTAAATATCTTCTTAAGATCTGCTGTTTGAAAACAGAGGACTACTTTAGTTCCTAATGTGAGCTTGGATGCAGAGTTGTTTTTTGTTTGTTTTAGTTTTAAATGAAGCATAGGTTTTAAAGTCTAGTCCACATAACTAGGAAATTCCCTCCGATAATATTTCTAAAGAAGAGGCAGATTTCAAACATACTCATGGAAATATACTGGAACTTCAAAGAAGCACCTGGAAGGCCAAACCATGAAGTCAAAATACTATTTTAGCAGGCGTTGGGCAGATTAGTCTAGTTCCATGGACTTCCCAATGTTGTACGGTTTTTCCAGTCACTCCAGACTCTTCACTTGGGTGATGAAGGTGGCAGTACTGCCTTTTAAAAACATATAATTTTATTATTATTATTATTTTGGTGTTGTACAGAGAGTTGCCATTTCATAAGTCAGGTCATGAGTACATTTTGGGGGAACAATATCTCCCATGTCTTTGCTTTCCTCCAGTTTCCCCTCCCCTCCCTGCCCACAAGTTACATAGTATACATAGTGTATACTGAATAGCATGATTGGATTTGTTCACCCTTTCTCCCTCCTTCCCTTTCTGTACCCTCCCTTTAACCTTCACCCCCCCCCAAAAAAAACCTCAAAACAAACACATCCACCACCACCACCACCAACAACAACAATAAATCCCATGTTTCTGGAGTTCGTTTTGATAAATAATACTTTACATGTTCAGAGAAGTTACACCTTTGAGTACCTCCTCTCAGGGATCCTCCTTTAGTCTGACTGTGTATGAATGCCTATGGTCCTGTTTAGGTTATCATGACCAGATATGTTTAAGATCTAGCTTCCACATATGAGGGAAAGCATGGGCCATTGGTCCTCCTGAGGTTTGTTTACCTCATAACATGAACAGTGCTATCTTGGAAGTTTGGGGAGTCCGTTAGAGGAGACACTGCAGAAAAACAGAGCCCAGTATTCTTGGGTTTTTTTATTGTGAAAATACTGTACAGAGGGGTTACACTTTCTTGGCTGTCATTATAGTGATTAGGAAGCATGATTTGTGACAATGAACAGGATCATGGCTTTAGCATCTTGAAGTGCTCATTTTGCCAGGCTGAAGACAAATATTCTTGGGAAACAGGATGGAAACAGCCCAAGAGATTCAGCTAAGATTGCTCATGCCCATGACAGCTTATTTCCATTTGCTGCAGCTTGACATTGTTGTCCAACCTGCTGTATAGTATGCTAATCCCTGAACGGATAAGTTTTCCAAAAGAAATTGAGCCTATGAGGCAGCTGTACTGGCCAGTTTCTCATTGCTGTGACCAAATACTTGACAAAATAACCTCCACTGGAATAAGACTTGTTTTGGCTCACAGTTTCGGAGAGTTCAGTCCATGTTTACTTGGGCCTCATGTACTTGGACAGATCATACTGGTAGGAGAATGAGGCAGAAGAGGGATTTTCCTCATGGTGGGCAGGAAACAGTCAAGAGAGAGAGACAGAGAGACAGAGACAGACCTATTTCCTTCAGCGAGGCCTTACCTCTTCAAGTTTTTACAACCTCCCAAAATAGTACCACCATCTGGTGACCAAGCCTTCGGGGCATGAGACTTAAGAAAAAACTTTCCTATTTCTAATGTTTTATAATGATAGTTAAGTAGTTGTATAAAAGAGTTTCAACAAAACATGTCCATTTATGAGTACAATGCTTCCTGATTTATGTCACCCTTCCCATCATTCCCTGCTGGATCTCTCCCAACCACACCTATCTCCACAAGTTACCTGGTTCTACCTTCACCTATGGAAATGGAATAGTATGACTGCCTTCTCCAACCCTTCATCTCTTTATCCATCCACCCTTCTCCTGGTCACCTCAAACCTGTGATCCTCACCTCAAGTTCTAGCTTGCTGGTATCCATTTTGTTAGACTGTAAGTTTGTTGTTCAAAGAAGTACACTACTGAAATTCTTGCCAGCAAACATCATACTTTAGTTAAGATGCTCATATACAATATGTGTGTATATATCCATGTATATGCTTTATATATGTTTACATGTATATTTAGTCTTTAAATGTCACTTCCACATATGTGAGAAATACATAGCCTGTCTCTCTGGGCCTGATTTACTTCACTTAACAGGATTTTGTTTCCAGGTCCATTGATTTCTCTGCAAATAATGTCATATCATTTCTCCTGATGGATGAGTAAAGTTCCCTTGTGTATGTGGTGTATATATTTGTGTAATATACAATATGCAATATGTAACATATATTATATAACACATTATATACACACGAAATATATAGAATAGACATTATCCACATACATATATGTACATGCATATATTGCGTTATCTTGATCCATTTATCCACAGAAAGGCATCTGACCTGTTTCCCTAACTTGGCTGTGGAAAATAAAGCAGCAATGAACATGGTTGTATGAGTGTTTTTACTATATCCTGACTTGTAATCTTTTGGGTAAATACCCAAGTGTAGTATCTCTTGATCATGGGATAATTTATGAGCTTTTTCTGTGTATGGTGTAGGAAGACTCATCCAAACCATAATGGTGGCCAAGTCATGAAAGCAAGTCTCAAGTCCATTTCCTTGGGACAAGACTGGGAGATGTCAATGGACTAAGACATAGGAAAGGGAACTGGAGAGTAACTGAAAGCAGATAAGTGAATTAAGATGGGAGGGTTTTTTCAGGTTTTCCCACTCTCAGAATGCTCTTCCTGAAGTGGCTCCAGAAGATCTGAAGTACCTCTTCTGGCAAAGGTTCTCTTCAGCAACAATAACATTTTTTTTCTCTTCCACAGACCACAGATGATGAGCCATCGGAAAAGGATGCCCTGCAGCCTGGCCGAAATATTGTGGCAGCTGGCTATGCACTCTATGGAAGTGCGACCCTGGTAGCTCTTTCCACAGGTCAAGGCGTGGACCTCTTCATGCTGGATCCAGTAAGTGCCCAGCATGCTGACATGTGCCTTTCAGGACTCCATAGATTCTGGGCTTGAAGTCCTGTTCCCCTGGGGTAGTTTCCTGGTTGCTCTAATATTGGTTTTGGATACACAGAGCTTAGTTTGGAAAGATAACACTGTCATCAAAAATAGTAAGGACCTCTGATTAAACAGGGACGTGGGAGCCAGACATCAGTAGTTTATACCTGTAATCTTATCAACTCAGGAGGCTAAGATCTGAGGATTGAGGTTCAAAGCCAGCCTGAGCAGGAAAGCCCATAAGACTCTTACCTCCAATTAACCACCAAAATGCCAGAAGTGGAGCAGTTGCTCAAGTGGTAGAGTGCTATCCTTGAGCAAAAAAGCTAAAGGACAGCACCCAGGCCCCGAATTCAAACCCCAGAACTGGTATACACACACACACACACACACACACACACACACACACACACACACACACACAGAAGCATGGAGGGGTGAAGGATTCTATAGAGTTAATTATACCAACTCTTGCCCTGCCCTTAAGAAATTTTCTTTCCTTTTTATTAAGTTTATTTTAAATGATATATAGATATATTATGTGTACTGATGGTACCATGTGATAAATACATTGATCTCCTCAAACATTTCTTGTATTTCATGGTGAAAATGGGCAGACCCCTTTTCTCTAGCTTATCAAAGGGAATTGGTTATCCACTAATGCATGCATGCTGTGAATTATGAGAACACCATGACTTGAGAATGTCAGTTTCCAGACTGCATCATGGAGCTTCAGAGCATAGCAACCTTAGAATGCTCTGCGCTGGTGGACAGGCTCTGTACTCTGCACTGCCCATTTCAGCCACCACTGGCCTCTAGTGACCACCAAACACCTGCAGTGTGGCAGATATGACTGAGAAAAGGGATTTTTTTTGACATTTTATTTCATTTAAACTAGTTTTAAAAGTCTCAGGTAAAAGGAACAAGGAAGCTTGTTGATATTGGCTTGGGAAGGGGGAAAAGGGAATGAGGGAGAGTGAAGGAGGGGTAAATCTAATCTGAGTATATGATATGCACATAAAGACATGTTAAAATAAAACCTTTTATACAACTAACCGATGCTAATTTTAAAATGTAATAAAGGGGCTGGGAAGATGGCTCAGTGGTAGAGCGCTTGCCTTGCATGCCTGAGGCCCTGGGTTCGATTCCTCAGCACCACATAAGCAAAAAGAAATAAAAG